GAGATGAGCCTCTTTTTGAGATGGGTTTCTTTTCGCGATTACTTTTGCAAACTAAAGAGGGTGCTTCTTTTCAAAATGAATGCTGTACATTTTGGAAATTGCTGTGAGTCTAAGCAATAATTATAGCTTATAACCTGTTGCTAACATTTCTGATGTTGTTAATGATTACAATGTTTAACATTTTCTTCTAACATTACATCTATCCTTGTCATTAATGAACATGGATAATAACAATGTAAAAAGGAAATTTTTATGAATGTTATTGGGCCAGAAGTCTAGCCAATGTGTAAAATCCACATTTCAAATCAATTAAGTCTTGGGCATGCGCAGATAATATCCATGGATGTAATATCTCAGTAAGAAGTTTACTAAGATGTTATACGGATGTTATACACATTTTATATGGATTTGCTTTTACACTAAATATCAAAGTAACAGTTACTTACATTATGTTACATTCTAAATGTTGCTAGATTTTTATATGTGTGAGCCAGGTATTAATATTTGATTAAATAAAACATTAGGAGTCCATTATAAGTAGGATCAAGATGTGCTAATATATTTACAAGAAAGAATAGAACATTTCTTGCTGTTACACATATGCATTACTACATTACATTGAAAATGGAATGATTTACTGTGCTAGTTAAGATGGTTGCCGTGGCATCCTGGGTTCAAATACTTTAAATTTAATTGATAAATGTTATTGATTTATTGATTGATTATTAATCAGTTGATTGAATCGATTAATTTGACATGACGGAATATTGATGTAATGATCAATTTAAAAAATCAATTGAATGAGGTGGTTAATTTATTTTATTGATTATTGATTACAGATTTCAGTGATCAATTGAATGAAGTGATTGGTTGAGTGATTATTTTGACTGATTAAAGATTGCAATAATCAATGTGATTGATTGGTTTTGATTAATTGATTGATAAATTATTTTGAACGTTTGTGGCATAAAGCTAGACAATGTGTAACATCAATTAAAGGAGGTGATTAATTTGATTGATTGATTATTGATTATAGTGATCAATTGAATGAAGTAATTGGTTGAGTGATTATTTTGACTGATTGATTATTGATTGCAATAATCAATTTGATGATTGGTTTTGATAATTTATTGATAAATTATTTTGAATGTTTGTAGCATAAAGCTTGACAACGTGTAAAATCCATTAACCCACATTTTAGATCATTTAAAATGGTTTTTCATGCACAGATGTCATTATAACATTTTAATAAAAAAGTTTACCTAGATGTTATACAGATGTTTTACATGTATTTGCTTTCTCATTTGTATTAAAATGCCTTGTAGGGTTTAAAAACATTTGTTTTAATTGTAAATTTTATAGAAATGTTAAATCCATATGTTTTATTCAAATTTTAAACCATAAAATAAATTTAATATCAACATTTCAAAATTGCGGATATATTGTTATTATTATATTTATGTATTCAGGGCAGGTTGTTATAAAATGGCATGGCAAAGTCAAGGCTTGTATCTAATTAAATATTTTCTGGGTTAGTGACATACAAATCAATCAACATTAATTCAGAACAAATCCATATATTACAAAATACACTGTAGCAGCTAAAGTGAAAATGCCAATCCAATGGTACAAATTAAGAAAAAAAAAAGGTTCAACAAAGGATCTCAATTAGTTTCTAGTGAAGTATCGTATACCCATTAAAAAAACAAACAATACATGAAATAATTTAATATTATATAATAATATTCTAATGATAACCAGATACAGATACAGTAATATTGATTATTATAGTAACTTCTTTTTGAATAGTCTTTTATTGTGCTATAGTTGTGGATGTTTTTTTGTGAAAAGTAATTTCCTAGAAGGAACAGTAGAGGAACAATATCAAAATAATTACCAACATCAACATCTCAGGCAAGACATTAACTAGAAAAACAGTGAAGAGAAATACAATAAAGCATTGAATAAGAAAATTTAGCAAAAAAAAAAGAGAATGATACACTCAATTATTAATTTGTACTTTTAAAGGTACATGTATCGAAAAAATAGAATACTGTAGAGGAATTGCTTCTTTCATCAAAATTAACATTTTAAGAGAAGCTGTTACTCTCTCTGCGAAACTGACACTAAATAGGCATTATTAATTCATAGTAAATTAGCTAAGATGCAATAAACGAGACTGGAGAAGCCTGTGTGTGGATATGGCGAGTCAGTTGCATCCTGGGCCATTACCAAATAATAAGAAGAGGAGGAGTAAATGATTAGAATGGCCATTTTCTGTGGTCTAAATCATCTGTATAGTAGAAAAACTTTAGCATAAACGCTAGCAGATGGTTTTTCCATAAACAAAGGCAGTTACGGTTCATGTTGGTGTAAAGAAAAATGGCATTTTATTTTGTCATGGTTTGTTTGATTTTTCCACTTTTTTAGTACTGTATGTTACTTTAACTCCATGCTTTAATGAACTACTGTATGTAATCGTACCAAAACAGTATCTTGTACCTACTGATAGTAATGATTTTGTCTTTTTTTATATTAGCTTGAAAACAGTATATTATTATTATTTTTTCAAGTTATTATTTATTAATATTTTATGTAAAATTTTATTTGAACCGTTGATATCCATTATTATTGCACATTATTTTATTTTTTATATTATTATTCTGAAGTTTTGTAATTGGTTTCTTACAATTTGTATAATTGTCATTAATAAATATTCAGTAATAATATTAACAATTGTAATTTAGCTTTCAAATATTGCATGGACAATAAATAATAATAATTAAGTATATTTTAGTAATTATATTCAATAACTAAGTGAAGAAAATAGTAATAATAAATAATAATAAAAATAATGCTATAATCATTCTGTAAAATTGTTACCAAACCAAATTAAAAAAAAATAATAATGAGGATAATTATTAAAATATGTATAATACTGTACATTGACGTATGATTATAATTAATAAGATTACCAGTTAGTAATTATCCTTTGTGCTGCTATTTTCGGAATTAGATTACAGAGTATAATCACGATCAGCAGAACAATTCTTCTATTGAAAACAACTCAACAATAGATTTCTGTTCGTTTTCACCTACAGTTCACAAAATGCATTGCGGTCGTTGATCGCACCTTATCATAACAATACTCAGGATGGATTGGTTTTGTTCAGGTGATACATGATCAGGTGATCATGCGTAAGGGAAGTCAAACAACCTCCCAGCTCGGTTGTCAACTGCCACAATTCCTCCCACAAATCGGAAACGTTCCGTCTATTTTGTCACTGTCTGCACAAAGGCTTTGTTCTCCTTATAGACAGCAATGAATAGATATTGACGCTTTTTTTGTACTAGGGTCATGTGGTTACCGCTCAAGACCTATATTACATGTTCGCATGCGTACAAAGCGTGTGGCTTGCAAGATCTTGATCAATACTCAAAGCATGAACTCCCTAATTAGAATGGGTTGCATTTTATTTTACAAAACTCACAAAAAATTTGAGCCTAATACCAATTTGCTAACAGTAATACAGTGAACGAGAAGTTCTTAATTTTGTTCTACTAATGAAAAAGGTTTATTTTGGTCGAAATGTATACATGTAGTAAGGCATCAATGTGATTTAGTCCACCTTGATGTTTCACTACATATATTTCTAAAATATATATATTATTACAATGCGCTATACAAGTCCCCAATCATTACCATTAAAATAGGTGATAGGTAAAATGAATCCTAAGTTTTATGTTTCTGTGGAAGAAGTGTACTCCTGTTTTTGTAGATGAAACTACTGTGTGGCATCTATCCGTATCTCGCATATTGCAACCCTCTGCACTTCTAATTTTGATCAGTCCATAACCAAGACATTTAATTCAGCTGGTCACTAATGAAGTGACAAATGAAGACATCACTGAGATTTTTTTTAAAACACACACATTTTTCAGACCCAATATTAGGAACTATCTCCCAGTAGGCCTATACTTGACTCAGTGGCAATTACCATAGATCATTTGGCTTTTTTTTTTATATGCCTCTAAATGTTAATTGTGAATTTGAAGCCTAGCAGAAGAGGAATCTGACAAAGTTTCTCAAACCAGAATTTGAACCTGGGCCATTCTGTTGCCTATGTCGATACGCATTAACCAACTGGACCATTGAGGCTCTGTTGGGAATTCAAATCCAATTATAGCAACTTATCCTCCACAATCATACATATTTGTTTATACTAAATATTACTTTTATCATTATGTTTTACAATAACCCCAGCAAGTTAAAAATAAAAGCTCTTGAATGGCATTTTTCCGAGAGTCGGCAATGAGCAATCTAAAAATAGACACCGCTGGCCGATATGCATTAAGATTGCAATACCATAAGCCATGTTTACATGGTAACACATGATATGATAATCCCGCCAAAATTTACCGACTCGTCATCTTTTTGCTCAAATCAAACACAACACGCCCATTGAATTTGATAAATGGTATTATAGTGGGAAAATTATATCAGTTTTACTTTTGGGGTTAATCGTGGCACAACAATGAGAACGATTTAAGTCATGATAAAGAGTCTTTTGTGTTGTCCACTCCTACCTAGGGAAAGGAAGCTAAATATATAAATAGTTATAAATAGTTTATAAATGGGTTTATAAAGTCAAGTTTGATAAAAGAAAAGGAAAAAAGCAGAGGATATATTTGCTATTAATACAATATTTGATATACTTTTTTGGGTGTATATGATCAGTCTTTTTCTTGTTAAAATTGTTTTCATTTAGTTCTGAAAATGTTATTAATATGCAAGATATTTTACTCATTTACTTGTAGCAGTAAAAAGTAGTAATAAACTGGGAGTTATATACTACTCATTATCTATTTATTACACATAATAAGTATATTTTTAAAGACAAAAAAAAATCTTAGGTGTTTATGGACAAAGGTTAATATTTCTCTGATGGATTTAACCATATTGATTTAAATGCATCACTTATAATATATATATATATATATATTTGTGTGTATGTATACAGTAGATTTATATAAAGCAATAATAATTATTATTAATCACATTATTAATGATAATAATGATGGTGATAGTTGTGGTTTTTATAGGTTGTTATCAATTACCATAATAATCCAATCCTTGCGGGTTGATGAGGTAAAGACTAGCGAATCATCATATATTTCAAAAATGTAAAATATTGATGGAAAGGTAATATAATAAATAATTCCACATATTTAAAAATCAACAATAACAAATATAGCTAAATCCTACACTAAAATAATAACATTTTTGAAATAGTATTTTCAAATATGCAAGCAGCTCATAATAAATATTGAATGAAAATTAATTAAACTATACATGGGATTAGCTTGATCAAAGATAATGATTATCCAGAGAATAATATCGAGCATTGCACAACAGATTAAAAATGGAATATAATAGCTATAAAGAATGCAGACAAGCTAGGAAAAGACCCTGTTTTTATGCTCCCCTGCGTTACATTATGTTAATTTATGTTCTTACAGCACTACGTTTAGAATGAAGCGGTAGTGTGCACTGAGAAATGCATGCAAAATGAATTTAATCACCCAAGGTCATACGGAGGTAAGTCGTGTTGAGAATTCTCTCGAGTTGATGGGGGAAAATGAGAGATATTTATAAGAGAGGAAATAGAAGCTGATTAGATAGGAAGACGACACAAAAAATAACTTAAATTTGTAGCTGTTGCTTATTAAATTTGTAACTCTACCGAGATCCAGCTATTGTTTCCCCACAGCATTGTTGTTTTTCAGTCTTTTTCCTTTTAATCTACAGTATATAATACTGTATACATATAATACATGTATATATTATATTGTATTATTGTGTGGAAGGGCATATTAGCAGGGACTTGTTGGGTATGTGTAGTCTCAACAAATATAGTAATGATGTAGTAATTTGTGCATCAATGTTTGTTTGCTGTATATACTTATCAATTTGATTAATAGCATGAATATAAACTATACTCTGTATATGCTAACATTATAAGATCTTTGTTTTTAACTCTATTGGTTGTCGTTCAAAACTCATTCTATTTGTTGTACTCAACAACATACTGAACTCTTTATACTAAACGTTATCACTAACTCATGAATATTCATATGAGATCATTTATAAGCTTTCACAATGGATGCTGAGATAATTCTTGGATACTTTAATGGGTCGTTCTTTACCAATTAAAGTGGGATATCTTTTTCACGCCTGAGTAGGTCTAGATGGATTCCTTAAACCTACTTTGCTTGTTAAGATATACCGGTAGTAGGTTTACAATCCTTTCATATCTTTCAAAATCTGTTAAATATGCTTTGACCTATCAGTGAAGACAAGCAGCCATTTTTGATGACTTTTTTTGGTCTTCATCTTACCTCTGTATTTTGTCCTTCTGGTGTGTGCGTGTTCCAGGCCATATATTTACCAAGTGCACGCTATACTGATCGACTAGCTGGTTTTATATACTCTTCCTTTTTAGTCTGCTCAATGCTTTTATTGATTCCCGTGTAAACTTCCCCCATTTCTAACGGTAAATCAGCACGAACTTGAATTCCCACAGTCCTTTGCATCCATGGCGGAACACGTTCCATTGTATGAACTGGTGCAGGGAGGTTATCTCGTGGCTCTGAATATACGTCTGGTTGCGCAATCTTATAACCAGATCCATGAAGATAACGCTTTCTCACACACATATAGAAGTAACAGAGAAGGGTAGCAGCAAGAAGCGACAAAACAAGCAGGCTGCATCCTGCAATAGACAAGATCATGGCAGTTGTCATATCACCGTATGTATTCGGTGCGGCTGATTGATCTGGTTTTGGCTTGTCTGGGATAGGTTCAAGGGTGGGATTAAATGTATTTGGGTCAACTATTACTTGAATCTTTTTGTCTTTTACACCCCAGCCGGCACTGTTCTGTACCTCACACGTAATAGTAGTACCGTCATTCTTCTGAGTGAGGTGTTTTATTCGTAAGACCATGTCCTCACTCTCAGTCCTGTATTGTTCATGCGATAACGGTGGGTTAAATGTCCACTTATACTGCTTAGGCGTTGGATATGTTGGACTATTACAAATAAATACATGTTCTTTGTTAGTCTCTATTATAGTATCTCCAATTATATCAACTTCGGGTTTATATAAGATCCGGAGAGGACCAATGGAACATGTTCGTTCTGGTCCGACAACCACTTGTTGTAAAACGCAACTGAAAGTGTAATTGTACACTCGGTCCTTAGTAACTTGAAAAACATGTTTAATGCTAATTGAATCGGAACTGTTTAATTGGTCAGAAGATACCTTTTTACCATTGTATTGCCATTCTAAATTTGGTAATGGTTTTACATGCTCTGATTGACATTCGAGTTCTACCATGTCACCCTCTTTGATATTGTCTACTGGTTGAATACACTTTGGATATTCTTTACCCGGAACTTGACGCACATCAATTTGAACAGATTTAGATGTTATCTTAGGCACGTCATTGATTTGACACTTATAAGAAAAACCACTATCTTCGCGTTTCACTCTGTTTAAGACTAACCTGTAAGTGTATGTTTTAGCTGCCTCTGTGATTTCAATTTCAAACCGGTCTTTAAATGCATCAGATATTATTTTTTCATTAGTTATCTCCTGATCATCTTGCATCCAAGAGACGTTGACACCTGGCGGTACCTCAGCCACCGTGCATTCAAATGAGACGGGGTAGCCTTCGGTCGCTATCTTTGAGCTTGGAGGTGTTACAATTGAAGAGGCGAAGCAGCTATGAATTTGAAGTGCGAGTAGCAAAAAAGCAAGGGAGTAGATCACTCTGATTATTCTGACAGTGCACAAACCATTTTTACCCTTCATTTTCAGGTGGTCTGTCCTGCTGTTGCAGTGGGCATTGGTGTTTGAGCTGGTTTCTGCAGTTGCCAGGTATTATTCGTATGTTGCAATTTTGTTTCTACAGGCTTTGCAGTTCACCCGTTGCTCAGTATCCCGATTTCATTTCTCATGAGTACACTTGGTATAGTTCGTTGCCCGTCAGTCTTCTAGTGTGGCCCATGTACCCTTGGTTGTGCAGCTTCGTTCATATCATCAACACATGCCAAGCTAAAATGGAAAGTTAATCAAATTACTAGGAGATTGTAATGCCAATTTGGCCAGCTGAAAACAAAGTTATGTTACATTATAATAATAATTTCCTGCAGATTCAGAGTAGCACCTGGTTTAATTATCATTTATATATTAAAACCAAAATATATTTGTCAATGTCTTTGTAAATTATAATGGAAATCTTTGCAAATTGGAATTTTAATCATCACTGCTTTTGAACTTTTTAGTTGCCTCAAGTAACAACAAAACACAAATCCCTATCATCAACAATCGACAATTGATTAGTAATTTCAGTACAAAATCATAAATTTAACGCTTCACTAAGGGGTCATCCATTTTCATGAGATTACAAAACACACTGGGAGGTTAAAAATCCATGTGTGCTTTTGTTAAGTAGAGAAAAGACTTATGATCTTGAAGTAGCAACAACAATTTTATTGTAAGGAAGGGAGGGGCAAAAATGTTTTTTTTTTGTTTTGTTTTTTTTTTGCTCCCTTGAGAGTGATGAAACATATGTATGACTCCAAGCTAGCTAATAGCTATGTTATTTGTTCGAATATGGCCAAAATGATGATATTTGATTGCCGTTAATACTGTTAACAGCACTCTTGATTTATATTATATGCAATTGTTTCTAGCCCTTCCTATTGTGTAATGGAGTGTATCTGGCATTATTTGAATCTGTTCAACCATGAAGCCTCTGTGGTCTAATGGTTATGATGCTCACCTTGACAGCGAGAGGTCGCAGGTTCGAAACCTGTCAGAGGCATTTTATTACACAACTTCTTTATTCATTTATTTATGGGACTACATTCGTTGAGAGCTATGC